AKTTTAATTCAAGATGGCCACCACAGCTTATCAATATTGTTCAACACAAATATGGCTGACTTAGTCAGTCCTACAGATACAGATATTAAGTTAATTGATGTGGAAGTATCTGACTGTCATTCACAACTAGGACAGGCTGAAAAATATTTCAGGATATAAGAATTTCATAACRGCCGATATCAGTAATTATTGATTTGTTTTTTGTTTTACCTTTTTGAAATAAGGAGCAGGTGTAACGAGGCTTGAAAGGACTGAACCCCAGGTGCAGACTGAAGGACTGATGGATTTGAAGAGTTGTAAAAAAAAAAGGGTTTTATTTAACAAAAACAAAAGGCTGGCATGGCAGCAAAAAAAGTGCTTACAAATATCCTGGATCATGGACAGGTTGCATGGACCGAACACAGGCTATGAAGCTAAATCATACAAACAAACAAAGCTCCACCATGAGGATAGAACAGAATATAAAAGGAAACTAACGAGCTACAACAAGAAACACCTGGGAGAGAAACATGAGGAGCAGGTGAGTGTGGGCGRGGCAGGTGCAGAAACAGGCAGGAAGAGCTGAACCAAGAGGAAAAAAATGCAGAATAATTCTGCCAAACTGGTGACATGGCCTTTCCTCTTTTATCCGCAATTTCCTCACGAGCTGTTGCCTCATTTTTTCCTTCCATGTCGTTCTTCTTCTTAGTTTAAATGTCTGGTTTTTTTATTTATTTTTTTGATGAACAAAATATTTGAACAATCCTCAGCAGGACTGAAAAAAATGAAACCCCATATTGTAGCTTATTCATAAATTACATACTGTAAATTTTACTGGAATTAAAAAATAATTTCTGTCAAAGCAACATGGCAGCAGCATGCAGGACATCGCTGTGATTCATCGGGTCTGTTTTTCTCTCATTTTGTCGTCAGAATGAGAACAACAGGTCACGTCCCTGGAAGTTTATCCAGAGCTCAAATGGTCCGAGATGAGCAGCTTGAGAAAAAAATTGTGTCATCACTATAAAAAAGCAGGTGCTTTTCATTTGTCAAACATTTCAAAAGTTTTGATGAAATCGGAAAGATAACGTCTGAAAGCAGCACGGTTGTTAGGATCCAGTTAAAAGAAGATGAATCTCAGAGTCCTCGAGGACAAAATGTTAGTTTTTTCTCTGAAAATGTGGTTTAAATTAAAAATCATCTATATTTTTCTGTTTATAAAACTTACTGCGCAGAAACATAATTTACAAAATGATTGAAAGATGTCAACATGGGAGAGATGGGGGAGGAGCTACAAGTCAACAAAAAGATGGCGGCGATGGCGGCAGATGTATGTAGCTGTGCAGTATCGCTGCAGGAAAATACATCCCATTTGGCTTTACAGGCATCTGCAGGTCTGTTTTTGACCAAATTGACCTCAGCTTTAGTGTTGCTGTTACTCTGTATGCTACATAAACGGAAGATCAAAGACACAAATGATGGACATCATTTTCAAAAAACAACAGCACACAAGCGTCCTATGGCGTGTATACAAGCATCGACCATAAGTTATCCTAACTTTGGTAAATATCATCTACCTTGCCAGTCAGGCTGGTTTCTCTGGCTTGCTGTTGTTGCAGCGTGTCTCGGTGGAGTGGCGGATGTGGATGGAGTCCCTCGGCCCTCGGATTGTCCCTCGTGTTTGGACGGAGCGCCTGGGGTGGACTTGCCGGCCTGGACGCGTGGCGGTGGGAGCCGGGATGGAGCAACTAATCTAACATGTGAGGTGTACCAGCTTGGTGAGCATGCTTGTGTCCGACATGGTGGGAACCATGTTATTCAAGCCTTGAAGTGTGCACCATTCAGTGAAGAAAAGAACAGCAAGCTACCGACTGGCTTCAGAACCTCACCTGATCAGGAAGTAATTTCGGCCTATGTTACTGTTTTTCATCAGTGGAAAAAAGACATTAATGCTAAAGGCACGGATATAACAGACTCTGTTTTAACCAGTAAGAAACAACATTTAAGACTTCTGTTTAATATTCTTTTAGTCATTGGAAATATTGAACTTAATCCAGGTCCAGATAAAAATGTTTTTATGTCCACTTTTTTATATTTTATGGGATTTTATACATAGGTTTGTGCACAGGTGTATCTTATATAAATCCAACTCAATTACAGTCTACACAGGGATCTATATTATAT